ATTTGTGGACATGTATTGACATAAATGTGTCGCCTTGACCCCGCCCCGCCTGCTTGGAGATTAGGGCGTGTTGTACCGTTTGCTTTATTGTTGTCTGCTATTCTGTTGTGAAAAGAATACACAGACACGAAATTAATCTCCTGTGGTTTGGCACATACACTCTCACATACCTGTACATACACCAAGGGCGAGGCGAAATAAAGACTCGGACGGATAACACTGCGTATGTGTAATGCGTCTCATGTTGCGAATGAGTTATTGTTGTTGTTGTTGCTGCTGTTGCTGTTGCTGTTGCTGCAGCCACCTATACATGGGGTTAACAGCGAAAAAGCAAAAGCTAAATTAAATTTTCGCATTGTGAACAGGGCTAGGTTTTCTTTTTTTACTTGCTCAGAAAATGGCCCCGAGAGGAGCGCGAGACGGACTGCTAGCCAGGTTGGCAGAGCTGAGCCGTATTAAGCTGATTTGCCTGGCTCTCCGAGTTTAGTTTAGGTTGCGGCAGTGCAACTTTTGGCCAGACATTTGCCACGTTGCGTAAACGACGCGTCCAACGGTCGGAATTATTTAGCATTAGCCGCCGCAGTAGTTAATTTTAATACAGAATTTTAATTAAGCGGATGTTGTCTGTGGTCATAAGTAGTGTTGAATCGTACTCCGTTGCACGCTTTACTACAAAAGGAGATCAGTTATAAAAATGTACTATGCAGACTTAATATAGATCTTTTAACTATGGGTACAGGGTACTCTTTACATTCTGCCATCAAGCGCTATTCGAAAGTTTGCATTAGCCAACACAGAATTCATGCAGGCAATTGGCCAAGTTATTAAAACTTTTTGCCAATACTATGTCAGGGCATCATTGATGGCATCAAACATGGTTCATTGCCTGACAGCAGTGGCCAAAAGTACAAAAGTCACACAACATTAACTTGAACTATGGCAAACTTTTGACTTTGACAAAGATGCCGAGGAATCTTTTGGACGGGACGCATCATCAAGGCAGCGTCAACCAAGTCAAGAGTTTCGTAGACGAAACTTTTTCAAAGCTATTTTTGACTGCGGTCAACTAAACAAACACAAAGTTCTTGAGAAGTGCCCGATTGCCCACCGCCTGCTAAGCCAAACCCCAAACAAAAATGTCGCAAAAGACGACAACTTCATCTGGATGCGGTCAGATTCAATTAGATGCTGTTCAGTGCTTTAGCCTTGGCTTCAACTTGACAACAAATCTTGAAGTCGGGTAGTTGATTAGAAGGCGTCTCGCATGCAAGTAGCCAGAAGCGCTCAGCCGGAACGGGTCTCTTAAGGTCATCGAATAGTTAGTCAAAAGTCTTAGTTACCTCAAATGAGGGCTGCTGCCGCAGTTGCTGCTGCTGCTGCTGTTGTTGTTGTACATTTGCATTTGCTCCCACAAATATCCGCAGGCGTCGTTGTTGTTGTTGTTGCGCATTATTAAAGATGCATAGTTTAAAATATTCAATCAACTTTGGGCCAGAAACTCACTGCAACGAAATTGGCAGCAACGTTTCCGCTGCCGTTGCCGTTGCCGTTGCCGTTGCCATTGCAGTTGCAGTTGCCATCGCAGTAGTCGCTGTCGTTGTGTTGATTTATGCAACGTTGACGTTGACGTTGCTGTAAGTCGCATTGGTCGACGGGTCGGTCGATGGGTCGGTCGATGCTTGATGGACGTTGGACGGTAATCGGGTAGAGGGATCTTTGGGTGGTTCGTGGTCGGCCTGTGGCTGCTTCTGTGTCTGCATTTTGCCAGGCAGCGACATAAGCAAATATTTTGTGGCTATTGCTCTACGGCTGCTGCTCCGTATTGCTGTTGCGTTCCTGCGCTGCTTTGTCGTGTGTGTCCTGCAGCCATTCAATTATGTTGTGCCAGCAAGTCGAAGCCCGGACTGCCCGACTGACTGGCTGAATGGCAATTTTAAGGCTCACGCTACATACTGCCTGAGATGTCATACAATGTGCTGGGTGTGTGTGTGTGTGTGTGTGTGTGCGAGTTAATTTGTTATTCAAATTTGTGTGTTATATATTGTTATTACAGTGAAAATTGTTGTTGCTGTCGTTGCACCCAGGGAGTGCATTGCCCGACAGGCAATAGTTGTTGTTTCTAGCAAGCAAACGACATGACGTTGCCATTTACTAGATAGCTTTTCGAATCAGACATACTTCAGGCATGTCCAGATAGTTTTATCTTTAAAATCTTTAATTTATTTGAACAGATGATAAAATATTATCGACATTATTATTATTATTATAATTTATGTATGTGTTATTCAACTACATTAAAATAATCATATGCTTAAATTATTATATATTCGAATAGATAAAAATTGCTGAAATATTTATTTCTTTTTAACACATGTTCTATAGTATTCCCTATTTTGGAAAAGACGATTAGTTTTAGGGGCTGGAGTCTCAAAATTTGACATGTAGCTTCTTGATAGCATATTTATCAAGTATCTTTCATTTTATTGTAGATTTTATTACAGACTATAGTTTTATATTGCTGGAATTGAAAAATGGGTTGGCAGACTATCAAGTCAAACGAAATTAACATATTTATGATATTGTTAAGTAAAAGCTATAAACGCCGCTTATCACACCCTATTTCTATGATATATTTTAATAATCGAAACCATTAATCAACTCAGCTAAGACATTCCCCAGTGGCTCTATTCACCTTGACTGTCGACAACACCAAAAGGAATCCGTAGAAAACTTCAGGCAAATACCGAACTAATCTACACCCTCCTTGCCTGAGCCAGAGCCAACTATTAAGGATTAAAGCTTAACTGTCTGGTTATACGTCTGGGGTCTGTGTCTGAATCATGGCCTGGCTCTGGCAGTTGTCTAGTCTCGCAGCTCCAGCGGGAGCACCCACTCAGCAAGGTAAAAATGCGGGGCTAAGCGGATTAATTTGTTGACGCGTTGCTCAATAGAAAAGTAAAAGAAATGAAAAAAACACAAGACGAAGAGGCGAAATGAAAAACCAGTAGTAAATGCAAAAGGAAATCCAATAATAATTATCGAGCCCAATGGCTCGATGAGAGGGCATTCAAAACCGAGAAATTTACACAACAAAAGCAACCGCGACGTTTTCAGCTGTCAGCATTAATTAAAATGTTTTCTTATACTCCAGACCCGTCTATATATCAACAGCCATAGCTGCCATAGGCTGCCTTCTAACACCTTTCAAGCTTCTACGGGCGGAAATGTCTCAAGAAATGGGAATCAAAACACGAACAGAACAACGACATGGCATAAAAATGTCAAAGTTCTCCGTCCCCAGGCCCCTGCCACCGTCGAAAGAGTTGAAATTTAAAATTTATTCTTGGCATTGAATTTGTCAGCACGCTGCAGCACACCAATTTTTCAATTTCAGCTCGGTTGGATGGAAATTATTTGACTCAGATATTTAAGACTTTTCCGAAATTTAGGTGTCGTCTTTAAGCGCTTTATTTGGCATTTTGCGCATATTTAAGCTAAAATCAAATTGACCATCATTAAAAATAGAACATTGCATGCACAATGGCAAAGCGATGCAACAAAAGCTGTCAATTGTCTGGGTCAAAGGGCATTCAACTTGTACATTCCAGCAAAAGTGTTAAGCTGATAACTTCTGTTAAGCATTTTAAGCTTAAATTATTCTTTTCTCGAGAGAATAATTTTCTTTTGAAATATGTAACGCATATGCGATATATTGGATACCATAAAGTATGTGTACATTCAAGAACAGATATATTCAAGTCTATCCGTATATCTGATTTTATTCAAACTATTCTCTTACTTTTAAAGCTATAGTAATGCAACTTTGCATAGGTGCGTCTTTTTATCCAGGCAGTACATATATAATCCAAAATAATGACTAACCCAATGACCGCTTTTTGGGATATCGTAACCAAAATCAAGGACAGTGCCGCTGACTATAATTCTAACAAAAGCCGTATGAAACCAGCCTCTTAGAGCATAAGGTCAATGGGGAAAGAAAGAATCGGTCGGCAATAGGGTATTTAAACTCTGGCATGCCAAGATAAACAAGTTTCTTTGTTATCGTCTATTTTGTGGGTTGAGCTTAGGCCACAATGCCAATTGGTCGACAGGTTAAACGGCGGATCGAAAGCTTTTCAATGAATAATTGAAAACGACCTTTTTTGTGAGGGTAATTAAAAAAGTTTTTCAATATGCGCCCGCCGAGTGTCATGTCGTGCAATTGACAGTACAATACTTTTCTTCTTTTTTAAAGCTATTGCCAACCGTTCCGCTAATTGTTAGAAAGGTACAGCCCGGATAAAGGGGAAGAGGGGCGCAGTCTGAGCACATTCCTTGACTGACGTAATTAAAAAGACGTCAAGCGAAGTTTGTGCAGTTTGTAATGTGCAATTGATGCGACAGGCCGTTAACTGCACTCCCGGTTAGAAACTAGTACTCCAGCCATCGCCATCCCTATCCTCATCACCATCACCATGGCCATCTGCCCTTGTCTCCAGTTTTCTAATTAAATGAGCTAACGGCCAATGCAGCGTCACATTTGTCTTGAGTGTCCGACAATTTTGTGACTTATGGCGAGTTTCAGTCGGACCCGGCCTCGGACTCAAACGAAAAGCAAAGAATGGGACTGCAAGCCAGCGTCCGAGTGGGGCAAGATTTATGAGGTAAAAGCAATTAGAAAGTGACATCAACAAGCGATATTAATAACGTTTAAGAGTTACAAAAAGCCGAAAGTTCAAAGTTGAGGAGGAGAAATAGATGCGAAGAGTATGAAAAACATAAATATGCATATTCAAAAGAAATGAACAGCGTTTTTCTAAAGATAAAAAGGTTTTTGTTGCAGTGATCCCATTGAAAATAGGAAGGAATCTAATGAGCAGATAGTGTGCAATATATCTGATCAGATTGGTTATACATATTCTTGACTGATTTAGCCAAGTCAGACTGTCGGACTGTATAAACATGGCGATATCAGAGAGAGATAGAGTTTTAACATTATATTTTATATGAGTATAAATCATTTATTTGACCACATACTTAAAATTTGATTGCCTTGTTAGCAGTAAACCTCAACTTTCTGGGCAGTGTCCGATTCATTTTCGTCTTCGAACTCTCGTAACATACCTTGCAAAATTTCCAGCTCAATCTTGATAAAATCCAATTGGCCCTCAATATTTTTGCGCCATATATCAGGAGCAAGATCTGTGACCATAAATTTATTAAATGCTTAAGAAGTTTCGTTCCAATAGCGAACTTACTGCGTCTTCGACAAAGAATGTGGTATAAAGTGTCAATGGCATCCATACTTCGCTGCTTTTCCAAATAATTGGCGGCTATAACATCCTTAGTATGTGCCAGAATCTTTTCCCACCTATAGCAGAGAGCACGTGATTCATTATAGGATCGTTCCAGCTTGGACAGATCATTCTTAAGGCCCAGTACGGCGAGGGCTGCCTCGTTAGTGATCTTAACCATGTGCTGACGCATCGCCTCGATTTCCTGTAGCTTCTTGTTTTCCAGTTCGCTGATCTCAAGTTGGGCTAGCACTATGCGACAAGGTATCAATAGGGACAAGTTCTAAACAGACTCCGCCATGCTTACTGAGTGCATCGCAGCGATCCATACAATCCTTCGGCGAGACAAAGATATCCGAGATGTTTACAACATCCTCGAGTACCTTTTCATAGGGCTGCAGCTCCTCGACTGTGCCTTTGAGCGCCTCCCGAAAGGTTGTTAGTTCGCTAATGGAGGTCCTGAACTTTTTGATGTCCTCACTGAGTTCCTTGTGTAGCTCACTCTCACTGTTGATGGCATGCTCTGCGATTCGTTTCTTGTCCGCGCAGTCCTTGATAAAGCTGTTCACTTCAATAAAGCGCTGCCTCAGTACCTCTTGGGTCTTGTACATCTTTTTCACTCGCGCCTCATTTATAATCGACTGGCGCTTAGAATCGGCCAGCATCTCCTTCTGCAACTTGAGCATTTGATCATGCTCTCGAGTATTATGTATGTAGAGGAGCTCGATGGAGTCGCCAGTGGCGTCCGCATTCGGTGGCTTGCTAGGAAGAGGTTCTAGCTGAGAAGAGCCATATTCTTCCGTCACATTATGATCCACTTACATAAAGTACTTTTCCTGTAACTTCGACAACAAGTAGTCGCCCACTGCCTCCTCGGGCCGCAAATCCAGATTGCCCAATACATCGATGGTCTTCGTCGGCTTAGTTCGTGGCATTTCGAAAAAGCTTAACTTTAGTAATTATTAACGCAAATAAAAGCAAAATTAAAAAGCAAAAGAGAAAAATCTCTTGAAACTATGTAAGTGTTGTAATGTATTGAACATGAATGAATGAATGCATAGCTAAAATGCTTTAAACTAAATTGATACTCTATTTGGAAGTAAAACTCAGGGCACAAATACCAATCGTTGCCTGGGAAACGAAGGCTAAGCCCCTGACAACCAATGTTTGTTACATTTATCAGTGGCTGGCCTGTAACTGGGTAACCAACAGTACCACGAAAATCAGTTGTCCAAAGCGTTGAATGCAGAACCTATAAGAGCTAGGCTTGAAAATTTTCCTATTAATGCTAAGAAAGAGTTTTTTGGATACTCAACAACTTGTGCCGCTTCCAAGCAATCGATAAGAATCGATATTGAAATCTGTTTATTTAAGCATATCTCTTAAGTTCTTAGAGCTATAGTTTAGTATATACACCAGGCACACCCCATAGCAATAAATCAAAAGTCAAAGAATATGTTGAGCATTAATATGACTGCTATTGCCTATTCCTATGTTTTTTCTGATAGTGACCCTTGGATTGGATTTCAAGTTTCAACAGCTCATATTGTTCACACTTCACGTTTAGTCGACAAAAAAACGTTTACAAAACAAAAGTTCAGATTATATTTTTAACTAGAGAGCAAGAAAATCCAGAAACATGCCGCGCCATAAGCCCACTCTTAAGACCGATGTCATCGGCAATCTGGACTTAAATCCCGAGGAGGCGGTGGGCGAGTATCTGCTCTCTCGCCAACAGGAGCGATACTTCGTGTAAGTATAGTCAAACCGGCTGACAGACGGCAATAAGCTGATTTCCCCATGCCAGGAAACCACCCAACTGGGACTCAGCGGGCGATTCCATTGAGATGCTCTACATAGCCAATGCTCGCGAGCATGATGCTATGCTGGTGCTGCAGCGTCAGCTGCTGGAGGATGCCCAGCGCCAGACTGAGCTGAACCACCAGCGCATAGCACAAATGTACAGGATGCAGGAGCGCTTGCGAAAGCGTTTCATTGAGGTAAACGGATTTATTAAGGACTGCGCGGACAAGAAGCGTACCGCCGAGAAGATCATCCGCCAAGAGGAAGCCCTGCATGACGAACTCAGCAAGTGCATTGATGAGTTCACGAAGTCGATCAGCGAACTGAATACTTTTCGACATGCTCTCAAAGAAACTGTTCGCCAGTTTCAGCCGTACGAGCGAGTCTTAGATGATGTGGTGGAGAAATCGGACATTTTTGTTTCGCCCAGGGACTGCATAGATCGTTGTGATGCATTAAGTGAGTTACAGAAGCCTAAACACATATTTATACTCAGGATAAACTCGTGTGAACAGTGCTTGCCCAGGTTGAAATAAATGAGCTGGAAAATAAAAAACTGCTGGAGATCGAGGAAATGCGCCAGCGCATGGTCAAGATCACCAGTGAGGCAGCTCTGACTGTGCTGGGTCTAAAGAACGATCTGGCCAAGCTGGAACGATCGTACAACCAAGCGCGCGCCCTGGGCCTCAAGTGGGAGAAAACCGTAAGCCTCTGCAAGGACACTATTAGCAACAACGATTTGGACAAGGATCGAGCACTGGATGGCATCCAAATAATTTATCGCATGTTGTGCAAGCGCCGCGGTATGTTATTCTATATGTTTGTGCCCACTGCTACCCATATTCACGGAATCTTCATCTAGATATCGACGCCCCTTTTCATCGGCGCGATGTAGAGAAGTCCGTTGATTTTATCAAGCGCGAAGTAGAGCTTCTGACACTCGTCTTGCGGGAATTAGAGAAAGGCACCCACAAAGGCAGCAAGTCCGTCCATCAGGAAGGCGCTCTCTGTGGATAATAAGTTGAAGACTTAAAGATTATTGATTATTGCGCGACTCTGTTATGTGAATAAAGATTAAAGCTTTGTGAAATTTCACGAGCAAAAAATAGCTTGCTAGCCCAGTTCTTAAAACATATGTTTCTTTCCCATAAATTCGTACTTGGAGCCAGGCAAATCAAGTAAAATTTAATAATAAAAAAAAAAAAAAACAAACCAATCCAATAAAAGATTGCTACTCACCCACATGGACAGAATTTGAACTTTTCAAGTGGCTGTCAATTGGGGGAAGACGAGGAAGCCCCGGCAAATAAATTTTACGTTCGGCCGCAATTTGACAACTGGAATCTCTTGCATCTTTCCATTCAATTGCCAATTGAGTTCTATGGCCAGAGATAATCCAACTTAAGGACAGATAATTCTTTTATGCGAACATTTTGTTTTCGATTTCTGTCCTCGCATTTACAACTCGAGCCACAAAGAACGAGGCAAGGGGCACGGCAAGGCACAACTAGCAACTAATTTCATGCCTCCTAGGCCACGCCCACTCTTATAGAAGTTTCGCCTCTTTGGCAAGGATACATTTGGACGGGGCGTGTCGTTTGTCTTTATTCAATTTACTTTATTTGATTTGCGACTTTTGCTGATATCAGCTGGAGAACTAAGTTTCACGAGGGTAGCAGCAGCAGCTCTCGCCTAAAAATCAAATCATCAAATTTGCCTCAAGCCAAATAAAATGCAAAGAAATGTATTTTTCTTTAGAAAAATCTACATACACATACCATTTTATATCTGTGTGTAGTTGGAAAAGTCAACGTTAGTTTATGTAAATGCCACCAGCTGACTGCCCACAAGACTACCCCGGGGAGCGTTCCATTTGGATTGTGGTCCTTTTACATGTCCTGCCGCAAAGGGCCGGAACGAGGGGCAGCAATTACATTAAGGCTGAGATAGTTTCAGCTTCGCCTTTTTTGTGTTGCCGTCGCATTTGGGCAAATTGTCTAAGCACTTAAGATTTGTTGCCTGTCATTTAAATAATTGAAAATATATCAATTGTCAGCAGTACTTAAGCCCGCTCGACAATAGGTATCCTACTGGATACCCGAGTAAGCGAAATATTCTCTGGTCGCCACGCCCACACCGAGCTGAGGTGCCAGACCATTTGAATAATATGTCAATTAACTGTTGTGTCGATAAGTATGTTGATGACATTGCATCTTTGACTGCATTGCATTTACAGTCTGCAAATTATATAATAAGAAATATTTAATTGTATTTGGCCACGCGTAGAAGGAGGGCGGACTAACAATTAACGTGGGTTGGCTGGAAAGTTGTGGAAACAGGAGAAATATATGGAGTTATATGCAAAAACGTAAGAAATTCCTAACTAGTTACTAGGCAAGCGCCTGGCCTAGTACAAAACTTCTCTAGGTCTAAGTTTGGAAAACTTTTTTAGCCATACACGATTCACTTTTCTTATATTTTTATTCCCTTTGCATAGTAGACGAAACACTTAATTTAACTTTACAAGTTCTTAATGTGCCGGCCAGACAGCGCAGCCCAAGAAGGCGGAGCGACAAATGGCAATTAGAGAAACAATTGAAGCCAATGCCAGAGTTGGAGGAGAAGGACAAAGGGCGAAAGGAAGTGACTCGCAATTAAAGGCCACTTGAAGTCACAGTTGAATTAACTGAAAGTCACAGTTGGCTTTAAGTCAGTTTAAACCGAAGGCTCTTTGATTGGCAGGCAGAACGGTAACTGCAATAAATGTCATGCGATTACCGCAACAACAACAATGGCAACGGCAACAGCTACATACAACATACAACATCTACAAGTCGGGAGCAAGAAGAAGGCTTTACGTTGATTAATACTATAACACATGATTTATTATGCTTGTCAATTGACAGGCAGCCAGGCTGGAAAAGCACATTATGAAAGCTGACTGAGGCGCTTCGGGCAGAGATTGGTATCGGAATCGCTTTGCCGTGTGCCGTGTGCCGTGCGCCTTGCCTTGGCCTGTGATAAGATGGCAAATCGGCTTAAGCGCAGGTCCGCCTGGTTCCATTCTCGGTGCCCCCAGCTGCCAGCCCGACAGACAAGCAAGCAACAATCGTCATCATCAATTCAGTCAGCGACATTAATATCCTCACGGGCGGGCCAAAGCTGTCGTCTGACATTTGTGACACCTGCATTGATTTGTCTTGTTCCTTGCCTTGCCGCCCGGCCATCCCTGGTTCGTGCCCAGGAAGGGCTCCTTTAAAAGCCACCTGCCCGCCATTGACTGAGTGCCTTTCATGTCTTACAAATGCCTTTTTTATGCGCTAATATCGCTGTGGCTTTTTGGGGGGCAACTTTAAGGTGGCCAGCCCCAGCCAATAGGCGAAGGGGCCATTAGTGCCAGGCTCTAATGGCCTAGACGACAAGGCGCTGCAATAACCGCCCCCCTAAAAGCCAACATCAGCAACTACATGAGCACTCAGTCTACTCGGTAAGTACCTTCACATAGTTGATAATTTATTCATTTGCCGGCTACGACGAAGTCGTCAACAACAGCAGCAACAACATAAAGGACCTCAGGACTCAGTAGCTCAAAATTAACCACATACACACAAACACACACACTCGCACCTAACACATGTTAAGATGGAGATAGAGAACTTTCGGGTGCCGAATGTTGACTGGCAGCTACCCTTAATGACTCCATTAGAGGAACAGAACAACCCCCTTCGACAATGCCAGCAATCAAGTCGACTATCTTAAGTCCTCTGATCCGCCCGGTCTATGCGGGGCGAAAATAAAAAATTTAACTCAATTTTTAATTTGATTACTGGGCGTCAAAGGCAACAGCTCAAACAATTGAGAATTATGCTTGAATACTCTTGGATAACAGCTGTCGTCCTATTAGGTCACCCCAGCCCCCTTTCATCAGATTTTCAATGGAGTTGCGGGCCTTTTGTTGCGACCGAAGTATTTAGCGGGGCATTTTGTATGCCTACGAAATTTGTTCATCATTGTTAAGTCCTGTTTTGGGATGGAATGGGGTGGATTGCTGCAAGGGACAGTTTAAAGATCCCACACAACTGTTGTAAAAATTGGAATTGTAAATTTTACACTTATCAAGAAGCATTTGTTGCCTTTTATTGAACTGAATTACAGGCCATATGTGTGCCCTTTGCTCTCTCGATTGCGATTTGCATAAAATCATCGTTGAGCCCTAAAAATTATGTTCGGTTTTACGGCTATTGAACCGGGCTTAACGGAAGTGAAATATGGCTGTTTATGGTTTCTTTTGTAATTCTAAATGGTTTTTCTTGGCTCGCATCAAGGACCCTAAGAAACTACAAAGGTCTCGCATAGATTTCCGGAACAATTTATTATATTCTACAAAGGCGTAGCAGGTATGTTAATTGACCCCTTAAATAAGAAAACTGTCTGAGCTAGTCGATCGATTGAAACTACTTAAGATTTAGTTTTGTGATAGGGAGAAGGAGAGAGAGAGAGAGATCTAGCCTAAAAGGACATGTCCTCAAGCGGTTAGCTCTTGGCGTGTAAGCATTTATAAATATTGACAACTTAAAGTGAAGTCTATAAGTGACACGACACAGGCACCCCAGATAGCCCAGACACCCAGCCCGAAAACGAAAGGAAGCTTTCTGGGCAAGGCAACATCAACAATATCAGCAGCAACAACGACAGCTACAACAAAAACAGCAACACTTGTGGTCAAACTTAAAAGCCTGTTTGATGGTTACCTCATGCCTGACGGGAGCAAGAGACCCGCTCCCCGATAGCTAGCCGGAGGGTTGGGTAATAAAGTCCGCTGCTTGAAACTGTCAGAAGTAAGTGCGTGCGGCAGACACTCGGCGTGGTGAGGGGTTGGAGGTTAGGTCGAGGGCTAGATATAGAGAACAAGAGATGACTTGGTGAAAATATTGACAAAGCAATTTGCTTGTCAGACAATTAAGCGTCTAATTGGATGAATGCACGGCCACGTGGTAAGAGAGAGCAAAAACGAAACGAAATGAGAAAGGGCGAGCGGAAGTTGTCGGCTTAAATTTGAACAACTCCAATGGCCCCAACCCACTGAGACCCGACAGAACGTCAGAGCCAGGGATTTATGTGGCAGCCAGACTGCGATATCTGTAGACAAGTGAAGCAATAATCACAGTGCCATAAATTCAAAGTGCTTTTACCCTAAACAAGCCAAACAAGAGGCGGCAGTTTTTAATATATAACTCAGAGATATGCTAGAATGACAGCTGTACGGATCCGGATCTGGACACTTTGTCACAAATGAAACAGACTCGAGAAGATGCAAAAATATTTCGAGTACAGCATTATGGCAGCTGAGTGTGAGCTGGCTGATGGCAAAGGGGCACACTGGGCGGAGGCGGGCAAGTCGAGTCCACAGCTGCTCTCAGTTCAAGGACTAAGCGGCATGGTTGGATTTGCATGCTAGAGAAGAGCAAAGAGCTTGTTGCCAAAGATAAGTGAAATGTAATTCAAGCTGGCAGTGAAAGTGCCTGCAGGGTATTTCTTGTGAAAGGCCGAACGAGTAGAGGGGGGGAGGGGTGTTACGAAAAGAGAGGGTACGAGTTTAACTGGCACTAAGTGGACTGCATCGCGATGCCAGATAGCTGCATTAGAGGCTATCAAAACGCCATTCAAGTCGCCTGCATTGAAAACTGTAATCAAGTCGTCTCAAAGTGGGTCAGGCAAATAAAAGTGTGGAGTGAAAGCATGGTAGGCGGGCTCGGAAGGACGGTGCGTCATCTTCCTCACATGTGAGTATGCGGCACGAACATGAAAGTATTTGCAATCCAACGCAGTTTCCATTGAAGCTCTCTTTTTCTCTGAACTCTTCACAAATTGTCACCATTTGCTGCGCTCGACAAGGCGATGAGCCGCACTCCTCTTGGCACCACGCTCCCTACCCCACAAGTAGATAAACATGTGGGGTAGATGGAGGCCACGCCTGGGTGGCTTTCAAAGCGTTTACATTTACATTTCTTAGCTAGCTCCTTCTGCTGATTTATGTCCTGCAATTGACATGAAATTTTTCGGCTGTCAGACGGATGTACTGACAGTTTACCTAAGAGACAGCAGCAAGAGACAAGAATAATATTGTATACATATATATACCTATATATTTATAGATAGATATACACCTTGGCACAGTACGTGTGTGTGCTTTAAGAAAGTTGGCAATTGCCTTTAAGGAGTCTGTTATTAAGAGCATTATGCGCACCACCAAGCCACAAGGCGCAGAAACCACACGCCTTGCTTGGACAGCGTGCAAAAACTTAATTACTCTCTGGTCAGCGGGGCCTGAGCTCAACTGGGCAAAATGTGTTCATCATTGGCCCCTTCACACCTCATAAAGACCGCAATAATAAACGCAATTTGGGCAGAAATCCAATTAAATGCCCGATGCCAGATGAGAGCAGTCAACCAGCAAAGCACCAAAGCAATTCTCGGATCCACCAAACACAACACTAAACCACAACGACAACTTTCGCAGACAACATCATCGATGTCTATGAGGATAATAACCAGCTGCTGCTTGATGAGAGGGGCTGATGAGATGGCAGACACTGCTAAGTGACTGGTCGCCTGGCATTTATTGTGCTCTCTGATAAAAATTGCAATTATTTAGCCGAAATGTGCGAGGCGATGGAGTAGGCGGCGTCTTGGCGAAGTGTGAGCCAACATGTGAGCGAACCCCATGACAAAGTCATCTGTAATTTATTTCCACTGCCTGTTAACTGTTGACTTGGCTGTTGACTTGCCCCGGCGAGACAAAGGCAAACAAACCATCTCAAGACAACTTGCAATTGTGGCATTGATGTGGCGACTCCTGCGCTGGACACTTTATGTGGGACTCTCTCTCGCCCTTTGGGTGTGTTGAATGCTGTGGCTAATGAAGTGCATGCAAATCCGCCTTGGCTTGGCCCTGGTTTTCAGCTGAGTTCTTTGCTGGCTTCTAATGAGTACGAGCTGTGGCCGAAGGTGTGGCATCAAAGTGTTCAAGAGCCAGTCCAAGTTTTAGTGCAGTTTCTGCTCCATTATGCACTGGCTGGCCAGGCCGCAGTTAAACTTTAGCTTCAGCCTTAGCCACTTCACTGGCGTTCGACTGGCATCCAGGCAGGCATCCACTTGATGTGGCCAATATGCTGCCGTTTGCCTCTTGATGTTGATAAATGATGTTGCATTTTCATTTAGAAAATTTGTTGCTAAAGAAAAGTCACTGATTGACTAACAGGACGGCATTGAGGCAAAAGTTGCCAACAAGCGATGCAGGCCCGCAATCGGAGCTGGAGCTGGAGATGGAGACATGGACAGATGCAGTGACTGCTTGTCAGCAAAACGTTTAGTGGCAGCAAATACATACACAGGGAAGGGAACACCAACACGAGACACAACCACACACAACACACACACGCAGAGTGGCTGGCGAATCAATTATGCTGCAGACACCAGTTGCAGCCAGCTCCAAGCTCCAAGGGACCAAAGCTGCAGTAAAGTTGCATGTAGAGCAAAACAAAGAGAGAGAAAAAGTCAGAGAGAGAGAGAGGGAGACAGGATTGGTCCAGACACTGCTGAGTTGGCCAAGTTGCTGGCAACCAGCTGCTAATGCAAAAAGCGAAAAGTTTTCCAACTTAGCTAAGCGGAATGTTGACGCCTAGAATTGGGGCTGAACATAAAAGATGCTGTGTTGCTTGTGTCATGGTGTCATCTATTAATCAATTTCAGAAATCGCTTTAAAATAAGAAATGATTGCAATTATGAAGTCGAGCACTGGATGCGGGCAAACTTATTTACTCTCCTAAGCAATAAAGACTCGCTCCATGCCTCCTAGAAGGCGATCTAAACATCTGCGCATGAATCAGATCAGATCAATTATATCCTCTTTCAGATAAATTAAAAAAATGACTTACCTAGAATTGCTTCATGCAGGCATTAAGGTTGTTATCGATCGTAATCGTAATCGACATATTAACAAAGGTTTCAGTTTGAACTTGAGAAACAATGTTTGCAAACAATTTGACACAATATTGGGATCTGGATCTGCTGGAAAAAGAATTAATAAATGTTTAAAAAGGTTTGTTAGTTATTTCGAGTTTTCTAAGCCAACATTTCGTCCTAACCTAACCTATTTATATTATTATTAAAAAAGTTACATAACAAATCAATCGGTAAGAGACTTGCCTAATGAAATTTGGGGCAACCCTTGAAGTAAAATATATATTTCGACGGTATATCCAAGTGCTGATCCGTGGCAACCTTTCAGTTTTATGCCCATCTCAGAGCAAATCTTCAAAGTGACTGATGTCAGCTCTGCTTGGCTTGGCACCCGACGGCTCTGCCAGCTGGCTGAGCAAGGACAAGGACACGCATCCACATCCGCCCACAGCCCGCATACCCAATGGGCACCCATCAGTTGCAACAATGCAGCCCTGACTGCGTAGATGCCTTCCTGGCTTGCACTCCAAAATGCCGTTGCAATTCCGCTGCCATTCTTTTGCAAATGCTTGAAGCACTTTCATTGTGGGTCCTTCCCAGCCAGGGCCCACTTGTACGCGTCGCATGCCTGGCCGCCCATTGTCAGTGCAACTTTTGTTGCAAGGCGCAATGCTTTAATCTTAAACATGCCACCGGAACACTTGAGCATTGTCAAGTGGCTGTCAGCTACCAGCTGCCAGGTCGCCGCACCATCACACCACCACACCACCGCATCACGGCTTCCAACCACTTACCACCCACAACAGCAGGCGACAGTTGTCCCGCGCATGCAAAGCAGACTAGCGCTTGACTGTAGCCCCAGCTCCTATCCAGGCTCATCCCCCATTTGCCCGAGCACTTCTAAGCGGGCGCAGCCTTGGCTTGAGAGGTCTTCAGCATGGCTAGAGTCGACTTTCGCTGTGCTTTAAAGCTCTGTTTAATTTCCATTTCAAGCCACGCCCCAAGCAGCTTAACAACCAAATCCTTTAGTGATTTGAAGTGTTTATCTATATCGCTAACCGCAAGCCGATGTTCGACTCCCCCGCCTCGAATCCTTTCGAGCTGCGTTCCGGCACTCAATTTGTTGTTGTTTTGGTTTTGGTTTCGGTTGCTGGTATTTGGTACGTGGTACCCGGCTGTTGGTTGTTGGTTGTTGGTTCCTCCTCTTTTTTGGCATGTGCACATTTAATTGAAATTTCCCAACACGCCCATTGGCCTCCCTTTGACGCCCCCTTTTCTACGCACTATGCGCTTGTCTTAAGCGAAAATTTTAATTAAAATTTTCGCAAAGCTTTGTCGTTTTTTTCGCTCAGCTTTAAAGTGTGAAGTTCCAAGACACTTTGCCGGCTGCTCCAAGAATGGGACTTACCCCCACAGAATCTCTGTCACCTCGCCCTCCACAACCCACCTCTTGACAGCCGCTGGTAAAATATTTAACATGCAAATGAGTTTGGCTCTGCATAAAGTTTCGCTTTAAATGTGTTTATTTTAGTTGCCACGCCCATCCCGCCTACCGGATTCCTCGTTAAAAAGAGTTACAAAGTTAGTGAATATTTTAACACTTCTTCGTTGCGTTTAACATTTATTCAGCCGGGCCACTTTCGCGGACTGAACGCTTAGATAGGGCCCCCCCCCCCCTACCTGGTATCTTCCATTCTCTGCTCCTTGGTATCTCCATTGTCATCCCTGCCCCAAGTCGACTTTTTACATGTTAATGAGTTTTTAAATTTCAATGAGGTGGTCAGCTCAAAGAATCGCGTGCTGATTTCAGAGGAGTTTCCAAACCCAACGGGGCATTTCGTTGTCCACTTCCAACAGCTTTTAAATCTTTAATCAACAGCAATTCTATCAACACTTTTCACTTTTCCCACTTCTCACCCACACTGTCCACTCCCACATCATCATCACCATCATCATCAGAGTCGCTGTTGCAGTCACATGCGAACAAATCTTTGGCACGTTTCAATTCATTAGCTTCGTGACATTTGTCGTTTGATTTCACTCGGGCAATAACTTTGCCCCAGTGGCCCTCCTCCTCTGCTACCCCACCCCCTTCGACCTGTGTCTCGTCGTTGCAGCGTCGAACTCATTCATGCATTCATTCGCATTCACACGCATGCCTCAACCCAGTAACAGCACCCCCCCGCCCTACTCATCCTCCTGCCACTGCTCGCTGCAATGAAAACGCATTGTGGTCGAAATTGTTAACAAAATGTCAAACGGAAACCCGGCGACGGCAGACGTCAGAAGGGAGGCGGGAGGCGGGTGCTGCACCGGCGGTGCCCAATAAAACTTCAATAGCCTCGGCGACCCGAAATTCTACAGTGAGTGATTTTTACGCAGCCGAATTATAGGAAGTGCCGCCAGGAGGCAGGGGCAGCCGGGTGCCGCGGCGGGCGGAGGCAGAGGCGGAGGCGAGCGGGTGCCAACTGATTGTGCGGTTGTTGTTACAATTGTTGTCATTGTTATAACTGTTGTTGTTGTTGATGTTGTTTATGTTGTTGTTGTCGTAGCACGTGATGCTGATGAGTCCAATGGGCGACAGAGATGAGCTGTGCTTTCGACATTCTCGGGTTGAGCATGAAGAAAACATCATTAAAATTATGAGATAGAAAATGCCATCATCATTCATACTATATTATTATTATTCGATTTTCTTAAAAATGAAAATAAAATCAAGAGAAAGTAAGTGTTGAAATTTGAAATTGATTAATGACATATTAAATTTTTTAAATTTAATTTAATTTAATTGTTTACTTCACACAAACAGAGCCTGCTTAGTTGAATAGAGAAGGTCCGAACTTGAACCTGAGCTGAGCCATATTTTGGCTAAAAAATTTATTTTCTTGCTATGTACAATTTTTATTCAAATTGTTTACATTGTGCTTACGATATTTTCAGTATTACGAAAATGCTACAATTTCAAAATACAGCAAAATATAAATATAATTCATTTTATTAAGGGTATTATATATGAAGATATTTGACTAATTAAAACAAAGAGCATAGAATTCTGAGTATTCGAAGAAACCTCTTTCTATAAACAACAAGTTCTGTGATTTTTGGTCATCGCTGAGCTGCAGGGACACGCGACTATTCAACTATGCAACACCTTTTCCATTGGAGTTTTCACTCTATACCAGAGTAGCTTATTTTGCGGGATATATTCAGGGGCTTTTCATCTGTATTTGTTGTTGCAGCTGTTGTTACTATTGCAGTGCTCTTAATTTCGGGTTTCGGTGGCGGGCACGTATTCAGCTCCAATGTAATTATGGAGCGCACATGTGTTTGCCTGATTAGGCGATAGGTGGGTATGGGTTTGGGAGTAGCCGCTGCACCGATTTGTATGCAGCTCCTGCTTTGCGCCGGGGTCTCTGCGCTAGGGTCTGGTTCTGGCGTGCGTGACCGGCAGTTGTTGCGATGTTTGACTTACAATTAAAATCGTATATATATATATATGTACAATACATATATACATATATGCTGCACACAACTCATTATCAAATTTGTCGCGAATTTGTACACCATGTTTTTATATATGATAAAGGGCGTGGCACTTTCTGGTAAGAGTGGGGAAGCAGGTGACAGCGCATTTGTTGCGTCGAGTGCGAAAAATGTTGTTGCTACTGGTGCGCTGCACTTTGATTGAACTGCAGATAGGATGAGTGTCAAATCGGATAATACAATAATAATTATTATTATAATTGGATATGAATACGGCGAATTATAGAACCTGTTGGCATTACATCGTTTTAATTATGGTATATTTTATCTCGCTTGCACGGAAACATGTTGCATTAGTCCCAATCACATTTGAATATGTGCGCTGTCAGGTTGGCAGCGACATCTTGGCCAGGCTGCCGTCTTGAATGTCATTTCGCGTCGGCATGTTACCTGCTGGACGTATTCCCCTCGCCCCTCAGCAGCCCTCGGACGTCATGTTAACGACGCAACATGCAGAACATTTGCACATGCATCGAAACTAACGAACTGAGCCCTCTCTCTCTTCCCTCTTTCAGCACATGATACAGCTCACTGCCTCGAAGCGATCCTCAGTGAAATGCAAACCAATTTGTGGCAAGTGCCTCGGTTGCTATGACACATACGGTGCCCGTGGCACGGCCTCTGCTGAGCTGAAGCTGAGCTGCCTCGTGGAAAGATGAATTGCTTCCGAATATGATGACGAGGCGTGTTAAGCGATGTAACAAAAAGAGTGCAGAATCTGAAATCTGTTAGGCTGCGGCCCCCAGTCGCCAGTCGCCATTCGGCAGTTGGTTCCTGGGCGACGTCTTGTCAGGGGACACGCTTGAAATTTATTGCCGCAGTTGTAAAATACGAAATGCGTCGTAATTAGTTGCAACTTGAGTTATTTGTGCAACAATGCAGCATGGAAAGCAAACCAATCGACCAATGAATTGGCCTGAGAGCATGCCAAGCGGCCAGTGGCAGTGGAATGCGAGGAGTGGATGATGGGAGGCTGAGAGCTGAGGGCTGAGACTCATTAGAACCGTCTCCCGTTCGCACATTAGACACGTACGCCTCGCATTTGGCTTTTAAATATTTCGCTTACATTTAAAAGTGCATAAATTTGTGAGCACCATAAATTTCAACTCGCACTCATCACTTGGCATGCCAATGAGCCGGAGCAAAAGCAGGTGTAGGGGGCGCAGCAGCAGGTGGAGGGTGAGGTTGACTGAAGTCTCATGCATTGTCGATTTATCAGGAAATTGTTTATTATATTGCTGAAGAACTTTTTATGTGCGCTCCACTCATCGAGGACATTGTGTCGGGCGTCGTTTGCTTTATGACCAGCGACATATTCGGCTCCACGTCCCCCGTCCGCCAGATGGCGACTCGCAGGCCGTTTGGGTGGCAAACTTTATGACTGTATGTGCCAAAGCGTGGGAATAGTCGTCATTGTGGCCCATGGCCATGAGCCATGCCACACCAGCTAGTGAGGATTGTGATTCTGATTTATGCTAAAGGTTTCGATAAGCGCACGAAGATGGTCCGATGGACACTATTATACAGTCAAGGAGTGTCAGAGAGACAGGCAGAGAGAGA